TTGTTTAAAGTTTTTCTTTATAAAATATCTCAATCTATGCATCTTCTCCAGCTTTGCTTGATCTCTTTTCATTGCCAGCTCTCTAAAACTAGGAAGTCTTACCCTAAGCTGATTTTGGAGAATTGCCCTGGACTTGTAACCCTGACTTTCCCCCAAATTGAGTGGCCAAAGGTGGTTATTGTTTTCTGGCGGAGAATCATCTAAGCCAAGGTTTCTCAACCTCCCCACTATTGACATTTGAGGCCAGATAATTCTTTGTTGTTTTGGGGGATGGGGCTGTACTGTGCGCATTGAAAGGTGTTTAACAACATCTCTAGACTCTACCCACCAGACGCCAGTAGCACCCCCTCTGCCAGTTGTGACAACCAAAAATGTCTCTAGACATTGGTGAGGGGGGGGGGATCGCCCCCCATTGAGAACCAGTGGACTAGAGAGAGATCCAGAATCTTAGCCTGGGTCCCAGAGATGGGTCTAAGAGAGCTCTGAGTGAGACCTAAAAAGACTGAGATTTAGGATGGGATGATGGCCAGTGGATCCGCTGGAGATAACAGACCCCAGTCCTGCCCTGACCAAGACGTCCCTGTGAGTTCCACTCACCCATCGCCATCTGCTCCAAGGGGTCACTGAGCTCTGTCCAGGGTCCTCCGCCTTGATAGGAAGAATGGTACTTCTCCGGTCTGTCTGGATCCATCTCTGAGATGTGCATTGTACCTGTGGTCTGGACACTGAAGGTTTCTCTCTACACCAAGTGTGAAGTCTCCCCCCTCAGTCTATCATGGTTGTTCCGATTCTGGAGGACCCAGATGCATGGTGGTCACAGACTTCTTGTTTGAAATCTTGGAACTGGGATGAGCTGAAAGAGAGGGTCTGGCAAGTATTGTTGGGAAGAGGGATTGAGCCCTGAATCTCCCTTGATTCATCTCTCAATGCCATCCTTCCTCTTGAGACTTTCATGAAAGTGAACTTATAACCCCAAATCTGTCTTCCACAACCACCTTGTGCTAAACAAGAACATTAAATAACTATGAGGTTGGGGGAAGGATTCACCTTCCCATGCCTGGATCCTCTGGTTCACACACACAGCCCTGGAAGAGAAGCCCTGATGCGATCAGCTCAAAATTCAAGAGTTTGCCTTCCTTTCTGGGCATGGTACGGCCCTCCACCTTCTCTCTGGGACTCACCAAGGCTCAGCAGGATGGCAAGAGTAGGAGACATAATTCTACAGCCATTCAGGCCCTCTGGCCCCTGCAGAGCTGAGCTATGAAGGGACTGATGCTGGACGGTCAGGTAGAGGTACACAATGTGGGAAGCAGGGCCCACCTGACACCATGAGGCTAAGGTTTTAACACCTGCCCTCTCAAAGGAAGAGAGAAGAAAAAATAAACTCCCCCTAGGTCTTTATCTACCCAGTGTGGAGGCTGAGGGAGGGTGCAACATCCTGAAGACATCACATCAGACAAGAAGCCTTGCCTGTTCTCCATCTGCAGCAAGGTTTTCAACCTCAGAACAATGCAATGACTCTTTGTTGTGGGGGCTGTCATGTGCAGCATCCCTGGTCTCTGCCCCCTAGAAGCTAGTAGCGCAACCAGTTGTGGCTGAAAAAATCCAGGATAGTCAAAGCCATAGAGACAGAAAGCAGAGTGGTGGTTCCCAGGGGATGAAGGGGAAATGCAGTATGATTGCTTAATGGGTACAGGGTTTCCTTTCAGGGTGATGAAAAACTTCTGGAACTAGACACTTGTGATGGTTGCACAACATTGTGAACATACTAAATGCCACTGAATCGCATACTTTAAAATGGTTAAAATGGTAAGTTTGATGTTCTGTGTATTATGCCACAATAAAAAAAAAATACCCAGGGCCAGCCTGGTGGCATAGCAGTTAAGTGCCCACGCTCCACTTCGGCGGCCCAGGGTTCCCTGGTTTGGAACCCCGGGCACGCACCAACGCACTGCTTGTCAAGCCATGCTGTGGTGGCATCCCATATAAAGTAGAGGAAGGTGGGCATGGATGGTAGACCAGGGCCAATCTTCCTCAGCAAAATAAGAAAAGGAGAAGGATTGGCATCAGATGTTAGCTCACGGCTAATCTTCCTCATGAAAAAAAAAAAAGCCTCCAGACATTGCTAGATTGGGGGCAAAATTGCACTCAATTGAGGACCAGTGTCTTATCCTATAGTAATGAGGGACTAGACTGTAGACAGTAGAGTTTCTCAATTTCAGCATTAATTGAATTTTGGGCCCAATTATTCCTTTTTTTTTTTAATTGAGGTGACAATGGTTTATAACATTATGTAAGTTTCGGATGCACATTATAATTCGACTTCTGTCTACACTACAGTGTGCTCACTACCAAAAGCCTAGTTTCCATCCATCACCATACAATTGACCCCTTTTACCTGTTTCACCCCTCCCCACCCCCCTTCCCCTCTGATAACCACCAATCTGTCCTCTGCATCTGTTTTTGTTTTGTTCTTTTTTATATACTCCACATACAAGTGAGATCATACAGTACAGTCATATGCCTCATGATGATGCTTCTGTAAATGACAGACCATATATATGGTGGTGGTCCCATAAGATTACCATATAGCCTAGGTGTGTAGTAGGGTGTACTATCTAAGTTTGTGTAAGTACGCTCTATGATGTTCACACAATGAAATTGCCTAACAACGCATTTCTCAGACTGTATCCCCGTCACTAAGGGATGCATGACTGTATTTGTCTTTCTCTGACTTATTTCACTTCACATAATACCCTCAAGGTCCATCCATATCGTCACAAATGGCAAGATTTCATAGTTTTTATGGCTGGTAGTATTCCATTGTATAGATCACATCTTCTTTATCCATTCATCAGTCGATGATACTTAGGTTGTTTCCAAGTCTTAACTGTTGTAAATAGTGCTGCAATGAATATAGGGGTGCATATATTTTTCAGAGTAGTTTTTTCTTATTCTTCAGATAAATACCCAGAAGTGGAATAGCTGGATCATATGGTAGGTCTAAATTTTTTGAGGAATCTCTGTACTGTTTTCCATAGTGGCTGCAATATCTTTTCAGATATGTCTCCTCAGGCAAGGGAAACAAAAGCAAAAATAAACAAATGGGACTGCATCCAACTAAAAAGCTTCTGCACAGCAAAGGAAACTATCAACAAAATGAAAAAACCACCTCCTGACTGGGAGAAGATATTTGCAAATCATACATCTGATAAGGGATTGATATCCAACATGTTTAAAGAACTCATACAACTCAGCAAAAAAAAAAATGAACAACCTGAATAAAAAATGGGCAAAGGATCTGAACAGACATTTTTCCGAAGAAGATATACAGATGGCCAATAGGTACATGAAAAGATGCTCAACATCACTAATTATTAGGGAAATGCAAATCAAAACTATAATGAGAAATCACCTCATGCCTATCAGAATAGCTATTATTAAAAAGACAAGAAATAAGTGTTAGAGAGAATGTGGAGGAAAAGGAACCCTCATAGACTGCTTAGGGGAGTGTAAATTGGTGCAGCCACTGTGGAAAACAGGGTGGGATGGATCATTCTTTGTTGTGAGGGGCTGTCCCCTGCATTGTAAGATGTTTAGCAGCATCCCTGGTCTCTACACATTAGATGCCAGGAGCGCCCCCTAGCTGTGACAATAAAAATACCTTCAAACATTGCCCAATGTCCCATGGGTGGCAAAGTCACCCTTGCCGAGAACCACTGATCTCCAGTGTCCTGAACCCTATGCTGTTTTACCCCAAATTCCCTGGAAGCATAAAAGGAAATAAAATTAAAAATAGTAAATAAGAAAAGAATACCTCAACAACAGCCAGAATTAAAGGATGATTGGCTACAAAGAAACAGCAACTAGATTGGGATCAGATATTCCAACAGCAGTGAAGGCCAAGGTGTTATTTAAGCTTTCAACCTAAATCGCTAACTATAGGCCATTGTTTTTGTAACTAGGACTTTGATAACATCCCCATCTCAGTGTTCTCATCCTTAAAGTAGTCACATCACCTACCTGTTCAATTTGGTGAAAAAATTGAGTGAGGATACAAAGATCACTCACTTTTGTCAGTGCCTAGGAATTAGTGCTAAATAGTGATTTTGAATTGTTTATTTTTTAAAAGCAAGTTCAAGTGGTTTTGCCACCTTTTCTATGAATTACTGGCAATAAGTTGAGGATAACTTTGAGAAAGGCTGTGCTTTCCATGGGCAATGGATTATACACACAGAGAGAGAATTATTGAAAGTTTAAAGAGAACAGTGATGTGGTCATATTTGTGCTTCATCAATAATAGGATAGATTAGAAGAGGGTTTGGCAAACTATGGTCCATGGGCCAAATCTGGCCCACTGCTTGCTTTTGTAAATAAAGTTTTATTGGAACACAGCCATGCCCACTCATTTATGTATTGTCTATGGCTGTTTTCCCACTACAATGGCAAAGCTGAATGGTTGTGACCAAGACCACACAGCCTGCAAAACCTAAAATATTAGCTATCTGGTCCTTTACAGAAAAAGCTTACCAACTCCTGGGTTAGAATATCATAAAACGGATTAAGGAAGCCACAAACCACACTGATCAAGTAGACTCATCAGGCAACTACCGAGAAATTATTAGGCTGAGAAATACCTGAGCTACAACAGAAAGAAGAAACCAACATAACCATCTACGAAATTTGTAATATTTTTTCCTAGGCTGTCAAGCATAAAGTTTACTCTAAGTTAGCTCTTGGGCATATTAATAAGTAAAGCTTCAAACAAAGTGCTTTACCTTTTATTATCCTTATATCCTTGTGAGAGATAAAACGTTTTAACATCAAGTGGGTACGTGTCTTGTACAGAATTTACCAGAAACCAGACAGTGAAAGCCAGCGCTCAATTCTACATTTTGACCCAGGAATTAACATTTGACTCTCTGGATCTTCATGAATGAGACATCTGAGAGATATCCAATCATCCCTCTTTGAGACGTGTAATTACTGGAGAATCATCTCAGGGTGTTCAGGAGAGGAAGTCACAACACGAGGATCTTGTTGTTCTGGCACCCGTACATTCAATCGTCAATTTTGGATTGCTGTCTTTCACATCCTCCAACAGCTTCTGGATTTCCACACTAGATTCATCGATCTTCAACCTGAGTGTCTTTAAGGGGCCATCATTCTGTTTTAAAGCCTCAAAGAGCATCATTATTCCATTCCTTCCCAAGATATTCTGGCCCAGGTCCAGAGTTTCCAGCCTCTGATTGCTGATGAGGGCAGATGCAAGGTCCTGACAACAGAAAGGAGTAATGGAACAGCCCCAGAGCCTGTTGAGAAAGAGGACAGAAACCCACACATTCATTGAGCTGGTTCTTATTTAGAACCTACCATGTCGCCAGGCACATTCTTACTTGCTGAGGACCTGGTAGTGAAGAAATGGAAAAGAAAAATTATTTTCTTTATGGAGATTATTTTAGTGACATCAGATATCAGGACATGTTGTATTAAAGACAGTAGATAATGGTATTATAACAAAACCAACAGGATTAGGGTAAATTGGCCAGAAAAGGATTAGGTAGGTTTATAGTGGTCAGTGAATTCCTCATTGGGAAGGTGATATGAAAAAAAACTAAAGGAAGTTACAGAGTAAGACACTATGGTAACTGGGGAAGGAAGCCAATATGGCTGAAATATCAAGCTAAGGGGAGGCACAAAGAGTGGCTCTTAACTAATCAGAGGACCCCATAGTGTCTCATTGGCTATTTTTAAAACCTTCAGATTTTATCTGCAGTGAGCTGAGGAGCGTTTGAAACAAAGGTGCTGTGGTCCAGCTTGCAAATTGAAAGGTACCTCAGGGTGATGGTCTGAGAACAAACTTCAGGAAATCAAGGACCAAAATTGGTAGACCAGCTCAGAGATTATGCAACAATCTGTGTGAGAGTTGGTGAGTGTTAGCAGTAGAGAATGTTAGCAGTGGAGGGTTAGATGGTCATCGTCTAGGTATCTAGGAGATACCTCAAAAGAGTTTGAATGTGAGGTATCAGATGACACAAGAAGTAAGAGATCAGAAGCCTTAGAGTCAGTGAATAGAAGGATGGATTGGTTTCTTTTAGATCTTACAGCAAGTTGAGTTAATGATACTAGGTAGGGTATGATATGTTATCATTCCCTCCATTCTTTACCTGCTTTTCCCAGAGCTCCTTTTAAAAGATGCCTTTGCCAGTGGAGGACAGAGAGAGGCTCTATTTAGAGTAGCTACAGCTCATGCCAGCTTACATATAGCCTAGTGAGCTGACTCAAGCCACACTGACCCCTCAGCCATGTGCCCTTGAGCATCTGCCCATCTTTATCACTTATCTCTAACCATCTTTCTGCTGCCCCGGGCACTATGATAAGCAGCAGAGATACAGAAAATGGATTCAATTCCACTCTAAAATAAAATTTACAATGAGTAAATGGATTAACAAATTGTGGCATATCCATACAAAGGGACATTATTTAGCCATATAAGAAAGGAAGTACTTACACATGCTTCAATGTGGATAAGCCTTGAAAATATTATAGTGACTGAAAGAAGCTCAACACAAAAAAACTACATGTTGTATGACTCCATTTATATGAAATATACAGAACGGGTAAATCCAGAGAGACAGAAAGCAGATTTGTGGTTGCCAGGGGCTGAGGGGAATGGAGAGTGACTGTTCATGGGTCTAGAGTTTCCATTTAGGATAATGAAATAGTCCTAGAACTAGATGGTGGGAGTGGTTGCACAACATTGTACGTATACTAAATGCCACTGAGTTTTATACTTTAAAACAGTTCATTTTAATTAAAAATAGAAATACTATATAATCCAGTGATTCCACTACTTGGTGTCTATCCAAAGAACATGAAATCAATTCAAAAAGATATATGCACCCTATGTTCATTGCAGCATTATTCACTATAGCCAAGTCGTGGAAGCAACCCACGTGCCCATCAACTGATGGATGGATAAAGAAGATATTGTACATATATATACACACACACACACACACAATGGAATAGTACTCAGCCATTAAATAGATAAAATAAAATCATGCCCTTTGCAACAACATGAATGGACCTTGAGGGTACTATGCTAAGCTAAATGAGCCAGACAGAGAAAGACAAATACTATATGATTTCATCCATATGTGGAAGATAAAAACACACACACATAGATAAGAAGAACAGATTAGTGGTTACCAGAGAAGGGGGGGTGAGAGGAGGGCAAAAGGGATAAAGCGGTACATCTGTATGGTGTTGGATAAAAACTAGACTATTGGTGGTAAACACAATGCAGTCTACACAGAAACTGAAATATAATAGTGTACACCTGAAAGTTACACGATGTTATAAGCCAATAACCTCAATAATTTTGTGTGTGTGTGTGTGAGAGGAGGACAAGCCCTGAGCTAACATCCAATGCCAATCCTCTTCTTTTTTGCTGAAGAAGACTGGCCCTGGGCTAACATCCGTGCCCATCTTCCTCTACTCTATATGGGACACCACCACAGCACGGTTTAACAAGCGGTGCGTCGGTGTGCGCCTGGGATCCGAACCGGCGAACCCCGGGCCACTGCAGAGGAGTGCGCACACTTAACTGCTTGCGCCACTGGGCCGGCTCCCTCAATAATTTTTTTAAATGGTTCATTTTACATTATGTGAATTATCTCAAATAAACTTTTAAAAAGTTACAGTTCTGGTGTTTGGCCAGGTCAATACTACGGTTTATTGAGAGAAGAACATGCTGCAATAGGATAGTTAGAAGATCTCTGAACTATCAAAACTAGTTTGTTGTTCCCCATAATAACCAAGATGAAGTGTGAAATATTAAATAGCCCTGCAAATTGCAGGGTCTGAGTGCTCTTGTCAGAAACAAAAACAGTAAGAACGAAGACCTTGCAGTGGGAAAGAATTGGGTGTGTTCTGGGAACTGAGAAAGAAGCTAGTTGAGGGATGTGCACCAAGGTGGGAAGAAAAGCACGAGATGAGGTTAGAGAGACAGGAAGGGGGCTAGTCATAGAGAATGCTCTAGACTTGGTAACAAACATGGATTCACATGCTTATTATATAAAAGATTTTATAATGAGGCTGACACGTTCACAAAGTAATTCGATTAATGCATTAACTGTCCTGTTAAGAGGATGAGTCCTATAGAAGAATTGTCCGTTCCATAAGGGAAAAACTAAATGTCAGAAGTCACAGCTAATAAACATCAGATGGTACCTGAACCATATTCTGATGTCAATGCCCCCATTCAATGCCTTTGCTATAGTTCTGGGTCCTTGTTCAGGGATGTGGAAAGACGAATCCCAATTGGTAGATACTGTGGATTTGCTTGTTCAGTGTCTTCTCCAACTTCTAATAGAGGGGAGCTCAAACTTGACTGAATATTGGAACCATGTGAAATGTCTTTAGAAATTGATGCATGGATCCACTTCACCTAGATTTAATCAGTCTAGGAGAAGCTTGACCATCAAGAATTTTAAGTTTCCCAGGTACAGCTAAGATGTAAAACAAAACCACCATATGTGTGTTCTAGTGTTCTTTCTTGTCTCTGCAAGGCTAAGGTAGTATTCACATGATCCAGATTCTGTTTCCATTAAGGTTCTAGTTGCAAATTAGGTGGCATCAATGAGATGCATTTGACTGAGACTTGGAAGAGAGAAGTGATGCATCCTGGTGGAGCCATTGCATTTCCCGGAGGTAGTATCCATCTGAGCTGGGGCAGGCCCACTGTGTCCTGATCACTGGATCCAAGCAGAAGCAGTGTATTCCTGAAATCCACTTCACTGGAGGCCACCCCTAGCTATATCCCACTCCTCCAGACCCTCTGAAGGATTTTGTAAGCACCCAGATACCTGTACTCAATCTCTGGAGGGGTTTGCTCCTAAAACTGGACCAGGAGTGATACCATTGCAGTCTACATTCCAAAATATCTCAGATTAAATATTTCCAAACACTTTAAAAATGAATAAAAAGTACTTACCCCAGGTATTTTAGGTTACAATTTGGCTTCTTCAAAGCCTCACAGAGAAACCATAATCCGGTAGCTATGGGATTGAGACCCAGGTCCAGGTTTGTTAGGCTGGAGTCTCCTTGGAGAAGTTTTGAGATAAGTTTGCAGCCATGTCTGGTTATGTTGCAATGCCACAACCTAAGAGGGCAATCAGAAGAAGAGAAGTCTATTATTCCTCTGTGACTTATGTCCTCTGAAGTCATTGTTACTTCCAATACCACGTTTCTTCTACCTGGAGCCATATACTTTTGGGCAGGCTTGTATATAAAAAAAAAATACAAATGGAATGATGATTACATTATTTCCACCATGCCAAGGTAGAGAGTTAAACTGGCCTTTGTCTGCCACATTTTATAGTGGAGAAACAGACACACATCTGCAAAGATACAGGTTTTCCTAGAAGGTCAGAATATTGTATAGGTCAAGACTTCAGCCTCTCAGTTCAGACAGACCCAGGACTGAATCTGAGTCCTTGCTTATTTTGTGCATGGTTAGATCAATTGGGGTTCCCTCTCCCTGTCTTTTTATGTTTTATTTCAAATCTTGGATTTAATCGTCCCAGCAGAATTATGGTACACCAAAAGCTCAACATTCCTGATATCTTAGAGGCTGTGTTTCTAATTTAAATGCTGCAGATTCTACTACACACTTAGACTTCTACAAGTCCTCCTGGGCCATAGAGAAGGATGGTCACACGGTACAGTTAGGCAGGTGGATCTGCAATCAACCCTAACAGCCTTGTGCCCCAAGTATGGCATAATAGCAACAGAGTCTGCAGAACCCGAAGCGACACGACAAAGAGCAGACGGATGATAACTGGCCCAAAAGAGGTTTTGTATTATTTGAAATCCTAAAATCATACTTAAACCTGGTGAGTTTGGGGAGGGGGCCTAAAACAAAGTCTAAAATTAAGTGTAGACAGTCTACAAAATGGAGGCTTGGTCCAACATTGACCTTATGTATAAAGCAATGATCGTTGACAACTCAGTTTATAGAGGCGGCTTCATACCTACTATGCAGGAAATGACCATACAAGCTAAGGATCTAAGCTTCAGTTTTTCAATTAGTAAAAGTGAAATAAAGGTAACTATCACATGTAGTTGTAAGGATTAAAAAGATGATTCTTATAAAATTTAGTCGAGTCCCTGTTACATAGTAGGTGCTTAACAAGCCGACGTTTTTTGTTGTTTAGATGCCTAAATCAATTCCAAATTTAAGATAGGGTTGTCTACATAGCAACATCATATATGATATTTTACACTCTTCTAATGAATACCATTTAGGTAGAGATGTGATCTTTTTCCTTTTCTCTATCTGCTGCTATACACTGAATACCTGTTTTTCCTTTTCAGTCTTAAACGATTGGGGCATGTCTAGATTAAGGTATATCCTAGGTTAAGACAGAGTTTCTAGGACCAGCTAGAAGCCACAGGGCTAACTAGCAGATGGTAGTTGTATAGGAGAGCAAGAGCCCCAGAGAAATCAAAACCAGACAGAATTGCTGAACAGAAATAGGTCTCCAACTGCACACAATTTCTTGAATGTTACCCTAACTATGATTCTAACAGGGACAGGTAGTTTGTGCTGGGCCTGTTCCCAGGTAACAAGGGTCAACAAACTATAGCCCATGGGTCAAATCCAGCCCACCACCTGTTTTTTATAAATAAAGTTTTATTAGAACACAGCCACACTAGTTCCTTTACAAGTTCACACTGACAACGGCAGAGTTGAATAATTGCAAAAGAGATGATATGGCCCACAGAAATATTGACCATCTGGCCCTTTGCAGGATAAAAAAAAAAAATGTGTTTAACCCTAACATATAACACAATCCATTCCCAATGGCAGGAATAAGTATGTCATGTGAACTTTAAGAATATACACAAAAATTCAGACCTGAGGACCAGTCTCCCATCCCAAATTCCCAGAATAGGAAGAGGCAGAAAGTAAAACCTGCTCTGAAAGACATGCAAATATTAGTATCCATTTCTACCTGGTCTTTCCCAAGCTCATACAATGGTCTTGCCGGTTTCATTCAAGTAGACTTATTAAGTGCTCTCATACCTGTCTTACTTGAATCTAAGTATGTGTGCGCACATACACGTACACACACACACAGCCAGCAGGAACTTACACAAGAGTCTGTAGCTGACATTCGGGGTAACTCAAGCCCTCACATAGAAGTTTCACCCCGCCATCCCCAAGGTTGTTGTTGGCCAAGCACAGGTGTGTCAGCCTCTGGTTGACAATCAAAGTAGAAGACAGCTCCTTACAACAGGCTTCAGTGAGGTGACAGTCTTCCAACCTGCAAAAGCACCACACAAGTGGTAAGATGGTGAGAACATTTCCAAAGTCCAACCTTCTGGGCTGACATCACTTCTTGTTAATTCTCCACCCTCTCTTGTCTTGTGCTAGTGATCAAAGCCTGAAGGACCAGGAATGAGAGAAGAGCAACCAATATGCATGAGTCATCTGCCTGGGACCAAATATGGGAACCAGGTGTCGACATCAGTAGGAGGTTCCACGTGAGTTGCCCTGTAAGTCTGGAATTACCATGACTCTTCTCTAGGTGGCCCCAGACCTAAAACAGAGATGCCCCATGGGAGCAGATGAGGAACTTACGACAACTTCTGCAGGAAACACCTTGGGTGTCTCAGAGTTGTACACAGCAATTTGACGCCCTCATCCAGGAGCTCACTGGCTGTGAGGTCCAGGCATCTCAGGGACTGGTTGATTTTGAGGCCCGAGGATAAATCATCCCGCTGCTTAGTGGTATCAGAACAAGATCCCAACCTGAGGGATAAATGGGGGCAAGTCATTCTTCTGGGAGGACAGAGAGACTACATCAGTTTATTATGCTTCCCTGAAAACTGCATCCTTGATTTCCATCTCATTCTACTCCAATATGTGTCCAACCTTGGCCTGAACTATTGGAGAGAGTTGATCTCCTTTGCTTCTTCAAATACCCCCATGGCCATTTGATCAACATCCAGCCTCATCTCTATGAGGAAAATATCTGTAATACAATCTGTGTGAAGTTGCACCAACATGGTCTGCTATTTCTCAAAGCCCACTTTTTATCTGATCACTTTCTTCCACCTGAGTCTGTTTGAATTCCACTTAGAATTAAATATGTGATTCCATAGGGGAAAAAAAAGTGCCCAATACTCAAAAAGTTCAACTTCATAGGTTATTAGGAAAGATGCAAATTAAAATGAGGAGAAAATTTGACACTTAGGCAGCCAGATCCTAAATATGTTGAGTTTAAGTGTTGCAAGGATAGGGACAATTGGGAACTCCTGTTGATGGGAATATGAATGTGGTACAGCTGTTTTAGAGAACACAGAAGCAAGCAGTCCATTACATTTGTCTCTGAGACCCAGCTGCTCTTGTAAACACAGATTCAAGTGCACAACTCTAGGACAAGCTTGTTTGCATCATGGCTCTGCCTCTTAATATCTTCAAAATCTTTGGAAGTTACTTAACCTTTGTAATATTCTTTTCTCCCCCAATCTGTACTTTGAGGAGAGATAATACCTTTATGTCAAGAAAATGAAGGATATAATCAATCCATGTACTGTGCCTATTATAATGTATTCATAAGTAAAACTGAAGTTCTTAAAATTAGTACCTTTATTCCCTTGGAGCTTAACCTATAACAAGGACATTATAAGTTTACCTAAGTAATTAGAATACAAAGTGGAATGTGAAGGGTCTCAAATCAAGTGAGCGTAAATAGGAGATTCTGTATCAGCCATTTGTCACTTTGGAGCCTCAATGTATCCATTCATAAACATCATTCATCAGAACTTTAGAGCAACAGATATTTTTTCTAATTAAATGAAAAACAGCACCATCAGAAATCGTCAATAATGGTTAGAGCTCCCATTATTGCCTGGTCCCTATGCAAAGCAGTTCACATCCCACGTTTCAGTCAGTCCTCAAAACCCGATTTTATGAATGAGGAAACAGCTCAAGATCATAAGGGTCATAAATGTCAGAGCAAGGATTTCAGCTCATTTCCAAATCCAAAAACCTGTGCTGCTAACCAGTACCTCAGGTTGCTGCTCAACTAAGTCGAGGGGGGAAAATGGCACCCTAAAGACAGCAATGATAATCAAAGCACTCATTAGGAGAGCTCACCGAGGAATCTCTCAAACCAGTGAGCTACAAGGAACCAGGACACTTGATGCTTCCACAGTGTTACTGAGTGGTCACTTAAGGTTGATGGCTACTCTGAATCACAACAGGTAGGCAACATGCAGTCTGAAACGTCATGTCCCTAAGCTAGAGAATGACAAAATTCTGGGTGTTTCTCTGCATTCAAGGCTCGTTATTCAATGCATTAAGGCAAGCTGGCTGGGGAAAGAATAGAGGCTAAAACCCCATCCAGGTTCTATTTGAGAATATGGCATGGCATGGCATCCATTCAGAGTGGCTACCATTTTCCTTCTAGTTCACCCAGCAGCATAGCGTAGCTTACAGCATCCTTTTGATGCTGAGAGCAGCAATGACCATGAGATCTACCTCAGATACTGCAGATTACATCTTGAGTGTTTCAGGGTCTCACACAACAGCAGCAGCAGCATCTTGTCACCGTGGACATCGCCTTCCAGGATCAGGTGTGTCAGAGTCTTCTTACCAATGAAAGCCAGACACAAGTCCCGATAAGCATCAGCAGGGGAGATGTTTTTAATCCTAGGAAAGATGAAAAGAAGCGATTCCACTTTGGGTGTGCTATAGATGGTTGGTGCTGAGAACAGACAGTGAGATGAGATATCACAAGGTGTTCATGTGACATGGAGATGAGGAGGGGGAGACGGTCTGGTAAGGGGGAGATAGAGAGGAAGAGATGATCTGGTAAGCTGACTTCAAGGACAAGTCAGTGGAGTGGTAGCTGGAAGGAGAAAAAAGGAGTGACTACCAGTGGAAATAGTATATGCTGATGGGAGGGAAGATGGAATCGGACGGTGAAGGGCTCGTCTTTGCTCACGCTGCTCTTCAGATGGAATATCCCTATCCTTATTTTTCATATCATATCCTTTATTTCCTTCAACACTCAGCTCCCATACTTCTCCCCCCTCCCTCTTTTCCTACTAAGAAGAAATCACTTCTTACTATATCCCCATGTAGTCATTTGCATTTCCACAAAGCAGTTTTCATTTAGGCTACAGTAACTTATGGTTCATAAGTTAGCAAATAAATTACAGACTCCTTGATGGTATGGGCCATTAAGAGTTGTTTGCCTTTTATTTCCCGTCATCTAGCATGATTGTGGAATTTTAAATTAAAATATTTAAATATATCTTAACATTAAATATACCTTAGATTAAAATATACCTTCAGTGGAATATAACATGAATTTTCTCTAATCAAACTCTGGGCTTCAAGAAACAATTCAGCATTAAAAACATATATATGATTTTCCTAGCACCTGACTGCACCACCTTCTTCAGAATAAAAGTTAATCAACCTCATGTTATGCGATAATGAACCAGCTCCTGAGTTTTCCTGTGTACATGGTAGGAAATAACTGGGGAAAGGACTTTTGTGTGTGTGTGAGGAAGATCAGCTTGGAGCTAACATCCATGCCAATCCTCCTCTTTATGCTAAGGAAGACTGGCCCTGAGCTAACATCCGTGCCCATCTTTCTCCACTTTATGTGGGACACCGCCACAGCATGGCCTGACAAGCGGTGCGTTCGTGCGCACACGGGATCTGAACCCCGGGCCGCCAGCAGTGGAGCACGCGCACTTAACCGCTACGCCACGGGGCCGGCCCCTGGAAAGGATTTTTTTAAGGGATTCTTTTAAAAGCATGCTTAATCCACCTTAATTTGAGACACAATCAACAGCTGCCTTACTGTCTCTTCTGCACTCTTATTTCAGATATTCACTTTGGATCGAATTTTTAGAGCTTCTTAACCTATCTTTATCTAGCACCTCCAAACCCTCCAAACCAGGCAATCCACCCCCACATTGTGAAACACTCTTCTCCCTAAACTCACAATTGGTTTTACAACCATTGAGCCTTCATTTTTAGATAGTGAACGTTCCCTGTGGCTCATCCAAAAGAAGCTTCAAAATTAAATTTCAGCACAGAGAATTCCAGGATAAGGAGGGCTGCCATCTGTTCAGAGCCTCTGCTTAAACTGTCCTTAACTTGGTGGAGTTAGAAGTACATTCTCATTTTTGTTCTCTCATGTAGCGCCTCAAAAACCAGAGCAATGTAAACTTTTCAAGTCCATACAGAAGAAATTGTCATCTTTGACAGCAACAGCCTATTGTTAGATTGTGTTGCTTTGTGCACACAGTTCTATGGCATTCTGAGATAAGCAAGCTATCTCAGCTTGTCACCTGACATCAGCAGGTATGGTCAATTGATGTTTGGCGTAGCTGTTTGTTCCAAGTAAATAGCACTACATTTGCAGTGGCTTAATGAAGATGTCTAATGCATGCCAGTTTGTGGAAAAGTTCCAGCAACATATCTGTGTGTAATTTTGAACAGAGCTGATAAAGTTTATCCCTTGAACATGAGTTGGTTTAAAAGGATGCCCTAGAAGTCACTTGCCCAGGTGGTTCACATCATGATTTGCATCTGCCACAACCTCCCTTACTCAGACTCATTTCTCAGTCCCATCCTACACACAAGTTACAAGCTCATCATTGCCTTACCAACATCCTTATTCATGTATTTTAAATTTTTCTCTCTGAAGTATTCCCACCTAGGTCTCCTTCTGACAACATGCCTGTGCCTATATTTCCTGTAGACTGAGTTTCAAATACACTCATAGCAAGTATAGAGAAACATCTAAACTCTTGGCCAAATTTCATGAAAACGACTTCCTGTCCTATGATCCAAGTCTGCTCCACAGTGGATGTTTGCCAGCATCCAAAATCTTGGTAAAATTACATGAAAATGACTCAATGTAATACATTACTCTCCTGCTAGACATGCTTAAGGATAAGAATCATTTAATTTCTTTGTGTTCTGAGCACCTAGCTGGTCAGAACCTGGTAGGGCATTCAAAAACTGCTCCCACCTTAAAAATGCCTGGGGATCACCATCACAGGACTAGCTTCTACTCACACCACTTTCTGGAGAGGACAGGTGACGTGGGTTATCTGCTCACACAGAATCCTCACTGAGGAGTGACTCAGGAAGCTTTGACTCACGTCCAGAAAGCTCAGGTTCTTGTTTGAACTGAATACAGAGCAGAGATCTGTCCAGAGATGGAGAGAGCGATGGTCGCGCTGTGACCTAGGAGGAAGTGATAGACAAAAGCACATATGCAGAGTATGCATGGAAAAGTAACAGGAATCAGTAGGCTTTACTGCAGAGGAAACCACCAAAAAAATGAAAAGGCAACCTACAGAATGGGAGGAAATATTTGCAAACCACATATCTGATAAGGGATTAATACCCAAAATATATAAAGAATTCATACAACTCAATAGGAAAAAAAATCTGATTAAAAAATGGGCAGAGGAACTGATTAAACATTTTTCCAAAAAAGACATACAAATGGCCAACAGGTACATGAAAAGATGTTCAATATCACTAATCATCAGGGAAATGCAAATCAAAACCACAATGAGATACCATTTCACACCTGTTAGAATGGCTATTATCAAAAAGACAAGAGATAACAAATGCTGGCAAGGACGTAGAGAAAAGGGAACCCTTGTGCACTGTTGGTGGGAATATAATTTGGTGCAACCACTATGGAAAACAGTATAGAGGTTCCTCGAAAAATTAAAAACAGAACTGCCACATGACCCAGCAACCCCACTTCTCAGTATTTGTCTGAAGAAAATGAAATCACTAATTTGGAAAGTTATCTGCATCCTCATGTTCATTGCAGCATTATATACAATATTCAAGGCATGGAAACAAATGAAGTGTTCATCAACGGATGAATGGATAAAGAAGGTGTAGTATATGTATACCAATGGAATATTATTCAGCCTTAAGGAAGGAAATCCTGCCATTTGGGAGATGGATGGACCTTGAGGCCATTATGCTAAGTGAGATAAATAAGACAGAGAAAGACAAATACCGTATGTTTTCTCATATGTGGAAATCTACAAAAACACGGAAGAATTCATAGAAACAGAACCGATTGCTGGTTGCCAGAGGCAGAGGTTGGGTGAAATGGGTGAAGGGGGTCAAAAGGTACAAACTCCCAGTTATAAGATAAATAAGTTCTGGGGATGTGATATACAACATGTTGATTATAGTCAAAAAAAAATGGTAGGGAGGGAAAATATATGAAATGTCAAGAGTGTCTAGAGATATCTGGAACCCATTCCCCATGCGAACACTATAAGACTAAAATAAAGTAAGGCTCCAAGCCCCCATTCCTAATCTGAAGATCGTGTTCCCATCTAAAATGGTGAGCCAGCAGGAACAAATTCCAGCAAGAATAAAATTCTGACCCTAAGCCACAGGGCACAGGAGACTGTCTTCTTCTTAATGGAGCATGAGATGAGGCTGAAGATGGCAGAGCTTTAGAGTAAAAAATCAGAGTTCTTACCTCTCAACCCAAGTGTCTGATTCCGATGCTGTATCATTCTCCAGGAATAGCCCCTTTTCTACCTGCAGCGAAATTTTCTGCAAGTTTTCACAATGTTTAAGGCAGAAAGAAGACTGCATCATTTCAAATGTATTGGTCAAGTGAATGGAAATTTCCTTGATGCCGGTCATTGCATCCTTCACAAGCTGCTCCTCCTGAGATTCGTAGAGACAGTACAAAAACTCCTTCATGTCCATCGCTGAGGAGAAGGGTTTACCCTCATTGGACTTGATTCTGCATTCCAGCAATTCCTGCTTGACCTCCAAGGACACTCGGCAGCCAAAAGTTGTCTCCAGCTCCCTGGCTCTCTTTTCATTCAAAAGGCCAAATAAGAAGTGCCCCACATGGGCCAGGGTGGGGTTCTTTAGTCTTTCTTCCTTGGAGAGCAGCTTCTGCACATCCCCAATGTCCCACCCGTGGCTATCCCCATCTTCCTCCTCCTCCTCTCTCTCCAGGACATAGAACAAGGCAGCAAGAAACTGCTGGACACTGAGGTGGATGAAGGAGTAGCAGCCCTCACAGTCTTTGCCCTTCTGGAGGATATTCCTGTCCAGGAAAGGATGGAGGGCAGACTCCTTTACCCCAAGTCTCTCGAGGTCTTCTCCATCAAACACAGACGTCTGTGTCCAGACGCCCTCAGCAGCCAGGAGACACAGGGCCTCCACTGGAGCTTGGAGGCCCTGACTGGGGCAGCTGCCGGGAGCTGGCGTGAACTGGCTGCACAGGAAACGCAGGAACAGTGACGTGGTGGTCTGGCAAGTCGGGGCGGGGTCTTCCCCCTTCTCCATCTGCAGTCGCAGACAAGTGCAGACGATCCAGCACACGGCGGGGGCCGCGCCCATGTGGAACAAAGCTGCGTTGCTCCTCATCGAGTCAAAGGCTCGCAGTGCTTGAGCCTCCTCTGCAAAGTGTTTCAAGAAATACGCCTTCCTGTCCAGCTCTAAGAACCCTTCGATTTCTATGAAGAGTGGCTGTTCAACCAAGAGCCGGAGCTCTCTCAGGGCCCCCGGTCGAGTGGTGATCAGTAAAGTGGCCTTGGGTAACATTTTTCTCTTCAGCAAACTCCCCAGGAGGATGGGCACCGGCTTCTGCTTCCGCCAGTCGCCACATATGTCATGGATGAGTGCCCCCGGGGGGACTCTCAGCTCGTCAAAACCATCGATGATGAACAGGATCTTCTGCGCTTGGGCTAGGATCTCTGGAATGGCATCCTGCAAATCTGGCCAGCTCTCGGATATCAGCTCTGCAAAAGTGCACGCCCCCTTGTGGTTGAGCTCCTTGCAGCTGAGATAGAAAGTGGAATTGAATGTCATCATGATGTGGTCCTGTGTCCAGTCCAGCATCCACTTTTTGGCCAGTGTGGTTTTCCCAACACCCGCAGGACCATGCAGCACCACTGTAAGGGGCATTAGCTGTGTGGATATTTGGTGATTCAAGAATGTGAACTTTTGGCTTCTCTGGGTGATGTAGTGAAAATCATCACCATCTCCTGGCCAAGATGTATTCTTCCAGATAGAAGAAAATTTCTCCATTGTGTTTCTCTCTCTCCTCTTCACCTGTAGTGTTATGCAATGGGAGAAAGTTGGGGTTCAAATTATAGTCACCTGGAAAATATAATTTGCAAAGGACCAGAAATGAGGAATACCAAGAGGCAAATTATCTACCAAACACCAACTGTGTGACTATGAGACAGTATTTATCCACCTGGCTTTTCCAACCTCCAAGTCCTCTTCTGCCTCCCCTGGCTTTGGGTTATCTGTTCTTTGCACTTGTGTGCACTTTGTAAAATACCTGTGAGTGAAAACTTGACCACAGGGTTATTTATACTTCCTAGATGAGACATTATTGTAGATAAAGTGAACTTCAAGTATTCAAGTCTGTTTTATTTTTATTATGGTAAAATACACATAAAAATTTTAACTATTTTAAAGTGTACAATTCAGTGGTGTTGAAAACATTCACAGTGTTGTGCAACCGTCACCACTATCTGGTTCCAAGACTCTCATCACCCCAGATGGAAGCCCCATGCCCATTAAGCTCTCACTCCCCATTTCCCCCTTCCCCAGCCTCTGGAAACCACTAACCTGTATTCTCTCTGGATAAATTCTGGATTTATCTATTTTGGACATTTCACATAAACAGAATCATAAAATCTGTGGCTTTTTGTGTCTGGCTTCCTTCGCTTAGCATAATGTTTGAGCTTCATAGAGAGTCTATCATTAAGTCTATATTGCTTTCTTGGATCATCCACTTTGAGCAAGCTGTGATGTAAGAGAAGCCAAAAGAACAGATACACTGTTAGAAGTGATTGAATCTGTCAAGTCCATATGCTACAGGAAAAGCGATACACATATACACCAAATACCTAAGAAGAAGTCTAAAATCGTGTGTCAGGTCTCTCCCCTAAGAGTTACAAGTTTGTGAACAATATCAAAGAGATCCTCACTAAATGGAGAAGTAACATTCGTGGGTTGGAAGATTCTGTATTATAATATCCGTTCTTTCCAAATTTAGAACAATTTAGAAATCCCTTGCAATATGCCAGCAGGTTTGGGTATCTGATGAGCTAAGTTTAAAGTTTACATGGAAATTCAAAGATCTAAAATATCAAGACCACTTGCAGAAAACAGGAGTTGGAAGACTTACACTGCAAGATAAAGATGAGGGTCCAGACGAGGATGAAACTAAAGAGGAGCCCAGAGAATAAAATTTAAGATGACACTTACTTGCCTTACCCTTGTCCTGACCTTGAGGAAGATTACTATAAACCAGAGCAAAGGATAGGAAGCTCATCTAAGGCCAAGAATGGACCAACGAGAGAGAATAGTGAGCATATAACAGACTCACAGGCACACAGTCAGTGTCTTAGCTGCGACCCTACTGTGCACAGCCATGGGGAAAGAACAGTCTCTTCAATAAGCAGTGCTGTGTCAATCAGATATCCACCTAAAAGACAAACTCTGATCCCTACATCACAGCATACACAAAAACTAATCTGAGATTGATTATAATCCCAATTGTGAAAGGTAAAGCAATAAAGCTTGTGAGAAAAATCAAGACTACCCCCACTGCTTTGAGGTCGTCAAGATAACAGACTAGACAAACTATGCGCAGGGCCAAATCTGGCTCACCACTTCTTTTTTTTTTATTTTATTAAGGTCACATTGGTTTGTAACATTATATAAATTTCAAGTGTACACCATTATATTTAGGCTTCTGTATGGACTGCACCGTGTTCACCACCAAAGTCCAGATTCCATCCCTTTACTCCTTTACCCCATTAGCCCTCTCCCCACTCCCTTCCCGTCCTAGATGAGTATGTCCAGGTTGAGGCTTATGCAAGCATGTCTTTAAAAAGCTCTACAAGTGAAAAGGAACAAGGTACTGATACCTGATACAACGTGAATGAACCTCGAAAACACGATGCTGAGTAAAAGAAGGCAGTCAAAAAAGGTCACATTTTGAATGATTCCATTTATATGAAACGTCCAGAACAGGCAAATCCATAGAGACAGAAAGCAGATCAGTGGATGCTGGGGGCTGGGGGAGAAGGAATGGGGAGTGACTGCTAATGGGCACAGAGTTTCCTCTTGAGGTGATGGAAATGTTTTAGAACTAGAAAGACATGATGATTACACAACATTGTGAATGTAATAAATGCCACTGGATTGTGTATACTTTAAAAGGGTTAAAATGGTGAATTGTATGTTGTGTGTCTTTTATCACAACAAAAATTTTAAAATCTCAAAAAAAAGATAACATACTAGCAGTACAGGTCAAGATTGATAAACCAAATTTGATTTTAAATTGGGATCTTAGGGTCATCTCCCAAAAAAACAGCAAAAAAGCAAAAAGAGGCTGCAAACTGGGAGCACACAAACTCAAAATATGTATATTTTGAGATAGATATTTCTCTAAGGAATTCCAACAAATATATATAAAAATAAGGTAAAACTCCGTGAAAAGAAATAAAAAGATTGAAAAAGGCACTTCAAAAGAGAATGGTCAATAGGCCAATAATACTATTAAAAGGCGCTCAACCCCTTTAGACCTCAGAGAAATGCAAATTAAGAACCTAATGATAATGCTGCTGTGAACACAGGGGTGCAACCTAAGTGCCCATCAATGAATGAGTAGATAAAGACGACGTGGTAAAACTATAGTAGAACAGCATGGTACTGGCAGAAAAACAGAAACACAGATCAATGGAACAGAATTGAGTGCCCAGAAATAAACCCACACATCCGTGGACAGCTAAGTTTTGACAAAGGAGCCGAGAACATACAATGGAGAAAGGAAAGTCTCTTCAATAAACAGTGTTGGGAAAACCGGTCAGCCACGTGGAAAAGAATGAAAGTAGACCACTATCTTACACCATACACAAAAATTAACTCAAAATGGAGTAAAAACTTGAATGTAAGACCTGAAACCATAAAACTCCTAGAAGAAAACACAGGCAGTACTCTCTTCGACATTGGTCTTAGCAGCACCTTTTCAAATATCATGTCTACTCAGGGAAGGGAAACAAAAAAAAAATAATAAACAAATGGGACTATATCAGACTAAAAAGCTTTTGCATGGCAAAGGAAACCAGGAACAAAATGAAAAGACAACCCACCAACCGGGAGAAAATATTTGCAAATCACATATCTGACAAAGGGTTAATTTCCAAAATATAAAGAACTCATACAATTCGAACAAAAAAATGAACAACCTGATCAAAAAAATGGGCAGAAGCTATGAATGGACATTTTTCCAAAGAAGATATACAGATGGCCAACAGACACATGAAAAGATGTTTGACATCACTACTTATTAGGGAAATGTAAATCGAAACTACAATGAGATATCACCTTACACCTGTCAGATGGCTATAATTACCAAGACAAGAAGTAACAAGTGTTGGAGAGGATGTGGAGTAAAGGGAACCCTCATACACTGCTGGTGGGAATGCAAACTGATGCAGCCACTATGGAAAACAGTATGGAGATTTCTCAAAAATTAAAAATAGAAATACCCTGTGTTCCAGCTATTCCACTACTGGGTATTTACTCATAGAAGATGAAGTCAATTCAAAAAGATCTATACACCCTTATGTTCATCGCAGCATTATTTGCAATAGCCAAGGCATGAAAGCAACCAAAGTGCCCATCAACAGATGGATAGAATAAGATGTGGTAATATATATATATACAGCAGAATACTGCCATAAAAAAAAAAGACAAAATCGTGCCATTTGCAACAATATGGATGGACCTTGAGGGTATTATGCTAAGCAAAGTGTCAGACAGAGAAAGACAAATACCATATGAGTTCAGTCATATGTGGAAGATAAAACAAACACATAGATAAGGAGAACAGATTGGTGGTTACCAGGGAGGAAGGTGAGTCGGGGGAGGGTGATAGGGGTAAAAGGGCACATATGTATGGTGACGGATGGAAACTAGACTTTTGGTGGTGAATACAATACAGTCTATACAGAAGCTAAAATATAATTATGTACACCCGAAATCTACACAATATCATAAGCCAATGTGACCTCAATAAGATAAATTTTTAAAAAAAGAACCTAATGGTAGAAAAGACACCCCATCAGAATGGTTAAAATTAATGACAGACATTAAGCCCTGCTGCATACAATGAAGGAGCCCAACTCTCTTACATCACCCACAGGAGTTAAATTTTTAAAAAACTGCATTGCAAAACTAGTGGATAGTTTTTACTAGAGCCAACCACATATGTGTGCTCTATGACACAGCATTTTAATCCTATTTATATCCCAAGTAAATCAGGGCTTAGGTCTACAAAAGACCACGCACATCTTTTCACAGCACTTTATTCATCCTTTCTTCACCAAACTGTAGTTGTAAAAGAAATCACACAAAAAGAACTCTACAACTGAATTGACTCAATCTGTATGAAGTCATAATAAGCAAAACTAATTGATGATGTCAGTGATCAGATTAGTGGTGTTCTGATTGGGAAAGACAAGAATGGACATCTGAACAAGTCTGTTGATCTGGTTAGTGATTACACGGGTGTGTTACTATATACACGAATGTACACACCTGTGCAATCACTAACTAGATCAATATTAACCATAATTATTAATATTAACCATTATGGTTAATATTAATATGCATAACCAGCTAGAGGTTATATATACATGTATACAGACAAATGCACATACAAATGTCAATATGTTTTTAAAAATTAAGAGGTTAGTGTAGCTTTTTGATTTAGAAGTGACAGAACTAAGGTAAAGGATGAAATACGACTGCATGAAATGTTCACTTTATAAACATAACCCCTTTATCTGGATAATCTCCTCTACATTTTTCTGTAATCTCTTTTTAAGGAGCTATGATGACAATCAACACCTGAGTATTTTCTACATGCTGGAAACTATGATAAGCTCTTCCACTGACCACATTTAATCCTTGTAACAACCTCATCAGGTAAATTCTATTACCTATGCCTCACAGCATGAATCTGAGGCTTAGGGCAGTGGTTCCCTAAGTGTGGCTCCAAGACCAGCAGCATCAGGTGGGAACTTGCTTAAAATGCAGATTCTTAGTCCCAACCC